CTGGTACAGCTACCATAGTCACATACATCAACAATAAAGGGGGTCACAAGGAGCCTGACTGTCCACATATTCTCTTGTGGACAAACTCATTGTCCAGAGATTTTTCTGCAGTCCACATCCCAAGCTTGGACAACTGCCAGGCAAATTATATCAATCACCACCACTTTGACCAAGGGGAATGGTCTCTTTATCTAGATGTGTTCAATCTGATAGCAAAAGATGGGGATTCTCTGGATGTGGACATCCTAGCCTCCTGATACAGCAACCTACCTCTGTTGCCTGAACCAGAAATCATCTGGCTCTGGCCACAGATGCTGTAATTATTCTCTGGTCGCAGTTCAGGCTAGTTTATGCATTCCCTCTGCAAATTCTGCCTCGCCTGCAAAATAGAGCAAGAAAGAAAAAATGTGATTACAGAGATGCTCAGACTTCTAGCAGATGATTCCTGGCCTCTTCCCAACAGGCCAGACCTGCTATCTCAAGGCCCCCTGTTCTGCGCTGCTTTACAGTACCTGCCTTTAACCTCATGGCTGTTAACCCTTTTCAGAGTCTGTGATTCCTACCTTGATGAAAGTAAGAATTACCACTTCTGGGAGATCTGTTATCTTACTTGGAATTCTTACTTTGCCTGGTGTGAGCACAGTCCATTTTGTCCCAGAAATGATTCTGTGCCTTGAATTCTGGCCTTCCTACAAACAGGTCTTGACCAGAATCTAGCCCTTTGCACCCTAAAAGGGCAGGTATTTGCATTATCCATCCCTTTTTTTTTCCAAAGGCCTCGGGTTTCTTAGTCCCTTGTGAAAACCTTTATTCAAGGTGTTGCTGATGTTAGGCCCCCTTGCAGCACCCTGTACTTCCCTGTGACCTTAATTTGGTTATCTTTGCCCTGTAGAAACCGCCCTTTGAACCAGTTTCCTTTTTGGTAGCCAGGAGTGGTCTGTCAGATGTGTATCTGAACTAGTGGCCCATTCATGTAAAGACCCTTAATTCATACTTGACAAGGACAAGGTTGTGTTTTGCCCAAGACCATCCTTTCTTCCAAAGGTGGTTTCAATGGTTTATCTCAACGAGGACATTGTCCTGCTATCCTTGTGCACTGCTCTTCAGCATCCACAGGAATTCAGTCTACATTACTTGGACATAGTCAGCCATTAGAGCATATCTAATAGCTACTGCATGCATTAGACAAATAGATTCAATGTTTGTTCTTTCATTGGGACCTCCAAAGGGGCACCTTGCTTCAAAATGCAGTGTTGGACAGTGGATCAGCAAGAGATTTTGCTCCTAAGCAAAAACATCCCCCTGCACTATTGTGCACCCACAAGATCTGTAGGAATATCTTGTGCTTTTTGGAATCAAGCCTCTGTTTTCCAATTGTGTAAGGCCACCTGTTGGTCTTCTTCGGATACAGCTAATAGACTCCAGATTTCTCAGAAAAGAGTACCTGTCATTGGCTATTACATTCCCTGTGATAACAATAAAAGGGACCCTGTGACAAAAATCTCTGAAAAATACCATGCCACTTATCAAATTCCTTAGTGTCTGCTTTTCAGAAAGGTGTAATTTGGGCTGGGGGGAGGGGTTTGTACTATCCTGGCATTTTAGGGCCTCCAAAACTGTGATTTGGTAGTGATGAAGTGATATGAGGAAATATACCCTTTGAAAAGCTTGAAAGTGGTAATTGGATTTTGGGGGTTTGTATGTGGATAAAGTCTTTCATATGTGGTATCCCCATACTTGGGAAAAGTAGCAGAATGTGTTTTGGGGTGTTATTCCACATTTAGCCATGGCATACGTGAGCAATTTATTATTTAACCAACAAAATAAATTAAATTTTACAAAAATTGGTGGCAACAAAATAAAATCTTCCATGGACTCAACATGCCTCTTGGCAAATTCCTTTGGGTGTCTACTTTCCAAAAAGGGGTCATTTTGGGTTTTTTTTTATACTGTCCTGTCATTTTAGCACATCAAGAAATGTCAGAGTAAAAGCTGTGTAAATTCCACTATATATATACACCATACTTTGTAGATGCTATAACTTTTACATAAACCAATTGATATACACGTATTGGGAATTGTTTTTTTACCCAAGACATGTAGCAGAATACATTTTGGTATAAATGTATGATTAACTTTGAGTTTATTTGATATTTGGTAAAACCGAAAGTATAAAATGTGTTTTTTTTTTTTTTTTAATTTCAGGTGCTTATATAGCGCCGTCAATTTACGCAGCGCTTTACATACATATATTGTACGTTCACATCAGTCCCTAACCCTCAAGGAGCGTACAATCTAAAGTCCCTAACTCACATTCATACATATACATATTAGGGCCAATTTAGACAGGAGCCAATTAACCTACCAGCATGTCTTTGGAGTGTGGGAGGAAACCGGAGTACCCGGAGGAAACCCACGCAGTCACAGGGAGAACATGCAAACTCCAGGCAGGTGGTGCCGGGGTTGGGATTCGAACCAGCGACCCTAGTACTGCTAGGCGAAAGTGCTAACCATTTAGCCACTGTGCTGCCCAATTTTTCAAAATGTTCTGTTTCTCCATTTAAATCACAAAAAAATAACCTTGTAATCAAATTCTACCAAAAGAAAGCTCTATTTGTGTGAAAAAAAGGACACAAATTTTGTTTGGGTACAGTGTTGCATGACCACACAATTATCAGTTGAATTCGTGCAGTGCTGAATGGCTAAAAATGGCCTGGCCAGGAAGGGGGTAAATGTTCTGGAGGGCAAATTGTTAAAGTGTTACTAAACCCACAACAGTAAAATCGTCGTGTAAATGCAGGAAAGCATACTTGTTATACTCACTGTGGAACCAAAGGGGTTAATCCTCTGCATTATGGAAAAAGGCAATTTTGATCCTGATAGCTCTGTTCCTCCCCTTGTTTAAGCCACCGCCTCTTATCTCCTGATAAGACAGATTGAACCGTAGGCATTTTGCACATGCTCAGTTTGGTGTGTATTGCTAGAAAGTTTTTTTTTTTCTTCTTCTCCATCTTGGGAGAGTGCATATGATCAGCACAGAGCCAATCGGCACTGGTCAGACAGAGGTCAGGGGTTTTGCATCCTCCTAGAGCAGAAAGAAAACTCTTCCCACAAACTTTAGCTAGTGCTTGGCTGAACACTGATAGAAGCCACAAGACTGCTCTAACTGCTGATGAGAAAAGGTATTTAGGGAGATTCACCATCTCTTTATGTTCTGTTTACCATTATCCACGAAAGTGTAAACAAAAAAAAATCCCAAATTTTGGTTTGTTCCCAGAAAAGCAATAAAGGGGAAAATTTCCTTTGGGGACTCTTGTTCTGACTACCTTGGTTCCCCTTAATTTGCAGGCATCTCCTTACTTCCTGTTTGAACATGGCACAGGAAATGAAGGTAAATCTCAGAAATGGGACACAGGTGGTGCAATAAAAAAATTGATGGGTTATAACCCTCCCTTACTTTATCCAAAAAGGAAAAAATGTTTTGCCTATAGTTCTACTTTAAACCTATAACATGCTTCTTGTTTGTGTAAGTTGTATGGTAAACGTAGCTCTGATAAACCGCTTGGTTAAATGTGAACCAGTTGCCCTGCTGTCTTTTCCTAATCGCATCTTATTTTTGTTCTTACTCCATTCTTGCAGAAGAATGAGTATTTAGTATGCAGCAGAACTTTTACATTTATTGGCTTCTTACATTTTACCAAATGGCAACTATACTGGAAGTACAACTTTTGGATAAGTACAACTTTTGGGAAGAGGATTGGTTTCATTAAAAGGGCACCTCAATCTTCTATCATCACCTTTGCCACTGAACATACTATAATGCTTAAAATGAAGGACAAGAATAGCAATGTCTGCAAGCTTTTGATGTTTAAAAGAATGACATCTGCTAATTTATCTGTCCTATTGGTTGAAAAAAAAAAACATTTAGAAAAATTAGAACCTATTGTTCACACTGGTCCTCTTGTATAAAATAGCCAGCTTTCTAGACCCACACTCACAATACAAAGAGCAGTTTCCGCGGCACAGACATTAGTAAAGTGTCCTATAATATATGTCTGTGCTTTTCTATAGCAACTGTATAGACCAGGGATTCTCAACTAGGTTTTCATGTAACCCTAGGTTCCTAAATACGCAGTTAGGGGTTCCTTTTCGCACTGAGTAATTTCTGCCTCTCCTTTCAGCTATCTATTCGGGGGTATTTCTTTTCAGTGACAGCAAGTATAAGGAGCATTTTTTCCACTGACCATCACACTAATGTATCATGAGCTGTAGTTACATTTTTAGAAAGGGTCCCCTGAGACTGCATCAATAAATATCAAAAACGCACCGCAAAAAGCACTGTAAAACAGACAAAACGCAAACTGCATTGGTGTGAACCAGGGCTTAAGCTCTGTTCTGTTCTTCATTACACTGCAAGCACAGACTTCTTGATGATACACCCCCAGGAGGTATATCAGCATCTGATATAACAAAAAGGGGTTAAATGCTGATAATCATTGAACCTGAACGTGCACAGGGAGGGATAGTAGCTTTTGTGTGGGCCAGTGTCTGATAGCAAAAGCAACATTTTTTGACACGTTTGGCAATGTAGTAATTATTTTTTCTTTATGAAATGAATCTCTGATTTTGTTTGGGAGGCCAACCATGTAATTAACTGAATCTTGGTTTCAAATTTAAAATAAAATGTAATAAAACATCCAGAATGAGGCGATGCTTGGTGATCGATCTGTAAAACACCCTTTCACACATGACTTTTTTCTATATATTGTTATACTTAGTTTATTTTTCTATAGCTTTGCATTTATTTTAATATCATTTTCCTGTAATTCTTATCCATGTGGCTGCTAGCAGGAGTAATTTTAATCCCAGGCAGCTGTCATTTGGCCCAGTGGGATAGGCCTTTACAGTTAATGTCCACCCAGATAATTATGTTGGTCCTGCCAGCATTGAAATGTAATGTATTAAAATGTTAATTACGCAACACTGTCATGCAGGTGTTCCGAACAGACCTGATCACTGCCATGAAGCTGCACGACTCCTACCAGCTAAATCCTGAGGACTATTACGTACTGGTGGATCCATGGCGGCAGGAGTGGGAGAAAGGTGTACAAGTCCCTGTGAACCCACAGTTAATCCTGGAGCCAGTTGCCAGGTAAGAGTATAGAGTGAGAACTCTTAACACAAAGCAGCAGCTAATTATGCACACAGGAAATCACAAAATGATCCAGCTGTTTATTTTGCATGGTGAAGCGTGAACCCATAAATCATGTTTGCTCATTGAACCTGTTGCTGGCTGTAGCATGCTGTAATTGCCAGTTCAAATTTTGCTGATGAACTAGAGCTGGTGAATTGTTGGATAATTTAAAACCTTTTTGGTGGGGAGATTGGGCCATAGATGTAAGGCAGTAGGATGTGCTAATAAGAACAGTGACCAGCATGGTTTTGTTTTTTGGAAATAAGGCCTCATATACAGCATGAGCCCTAAAGCAGGCACAGATCCCTAAAATTAAACTCGATGCCACGTTACGCAGGCAAACTTCATAAGGAGCAGCATTATTTCTACTTTTGCCAATTGCAACCACACATCATTTCTGCGATTTATATACTTCTGAATTTCTTAGCAGGTTTGAAGCATTAAAATATTGGATCATGCAATTTTTGCCCTGTAATAGAGCGTGTCATCTTTGGGCTTGTGCAAGAATCTGAAAATACAGTCTTTGAATTATCATAAATGTGCAAGCTTAGTTTTCCTGAGTTTTCTTCTTATAGTGTTGTCAGGAGTTGGACGGTCTCCCCTTCTCTCCCCTTCTCTCCCCCTTCTCTCCCCTTCTCTCCCCCTTCCTCCCCTTCTCCCCCCCTTCCTCCCCTTCTCTCCCCCTTCCTCCCCTTCTCTCCCCCTTCTCTCCCCCTTCCTCCCCTTCTCTCCCCCTTCTCTCTCCCCCTTCCTCCCCTTCTCTCCCCCTTCTCTCTCCCCCTTCCTCCCCTTCTCTCCCCCTTCTCTCTCCCCCTTCCTCCCCTTCTCTCCCCCTTCTCTCTCCCCCTTCCTCCCCTTCTCTCCCCCTTCTCTCTCCCCCTTCCTCCCCTTCTCTCCCCCCTCTCTCTCCCCCTTCCTCCCCTTCTCTCCTCCCCTTCTCTCCCCCCTCTCTCCCTCCCCTTCTCTCTCCCTCCCCTTCTCTCTCCCTCCCCTTCTCTCTCCCTCCCCTTCTCTCTCCCTCCCCTTCTCTCTCCCTCCCCTTCTCTCTCCCTCCCCCTCCCCCCCTTCGCTTCTCTCTCTTCCTCTTCCCTCCCCCCCTTCGCTTCCTCTCTCTTCCTCTTCCCTCCCCCCCTTCGCTTCCTCTCTCTTCCTCTTCCCTCCCCCCCTCGCTTCCTCTCTCTTCCTCTTCCCTCCCCCCCCCCCCTCGCTTCCTCTCTCTTCCTCTTCCCTCCCCCCCCTCTCTCTTCCCTTCTTCCCTCCCCCTCTCTCTCTTCCCTTCTTCCCTCGCCCTCTCTCTTCCCTTCTTCCCTCGCCCTCTCTCTTCCCTTCTTCCCTCGCCCTCTCTCTTCCCCTTCTTCCCTCGCCCTCTCCCTCCCCCTCTTCCCTTCTTCCCTCCTTCTCTCTTCCCTTCTTCCCTCGCCTCTCTCTTCCCTTCTTCCCTCCCCCCCTCTCTCTCTCTCTTCCTCTTCCCTCCCCCCTTCTCTCTCTCTCTCTCTCTCTCTCTTCCCTCCCCCGCCTTCTCTCTCTCCCCCTCTCAGCAATAGAAGGCTACGCCCCAGCTGCTTCAGAGTTTGAGGGCTCTTTTTTTTTTTTCTCTCATGTCAGTTTTTAAGGCAGGACACCTGCTCTGCCACAAGGCTTCTGAATCCCAAGGTAAGCCCTTGCAGGAAGGATACTCTCCCACTTCTCGGAGTGGTTGTCACTTACTGGACTTTGTAGCTTTTTGGGCCTGTAAAGTTTCAGGCTCATTGGTCTACACTATGGCCTCCAAGAATTACAGGGCAGTGTTTCAGTCTTTCTCCTCCTCCTTGTTTCAATTGATTCAGCCTCCCGTCTTCTCTGCAAAAGAATGTGGATCTCTTTATTGTCTTGGACTAGATTACATGTCAGGGCCTTGTTACCTTGGGCTCAGAAGAGTGGTATTTTCAGGGTTTCTACTTCTACCTGTTGACTATGCTATATTTCTTTTTCTTTAAATGTGATTTTAATCAATTTTTAAGTGTATAACCATACACATTGTATTTTTTAAATTTGTTTTATAATGATATTCAGTGTTGTGCCTATAAAGTCCATGGGCTATGGTCCAATATTTTTTTTTTTTTAATTTGTAGAAGCAACTAATGTTATGCTATGTGTCCATGCATGTTAGGTCATTCAGAGGCATATTTTAAGCTTAACATTTAGATGCAGGAAAAAAACCCTTCTGGTTTGCAGTTTTGAGAGCTGTTTTCTGGCAGAAAAAAAAACACAAGTAGCATTTTTTTTTCCTGCCTAGAACACTGGTATGTTTTTAAAGGGGAAGTTCACCTTTTGGACAAAAATAATAAATGCACATTTTTTTTTTTGCAGGAATAAAAAATGTGCATTTATTATTTTTGTCCAAAGAAGCCTGGAAAGCATTGCACCAGCAATCAGTAGATTAGTGATGCCATGCAGGTCTCCTGCAGACCTGTCAGAAAATCTGCTAGCTGTACGGGATGTACGGTCAAGCAGATATTCTGAGAGGAAGATTCAATGAACTACCACGGGTCTCCACAGCGCTGTGGTAGTCGATTGAAAACTACAAGCCCACAGCCACTAAGCCTCCAGGACTTGTCACTTTTTCACAGAACTCTGTGAATCAGTGATGCGGCCGTGTGGACGGAGCCAGCACAGCCATGCTGTTTTCAAATCTGACAGATAGTACAGGGAAACTTCTCCCCGTATTATCTGTCAGAGAAGGGAGGTGTCTGGTGCTGCTGCAGCTATGGTAAAATGTTACACCCTAAAAAAAAAAAGGTAGAACGTGTAACATGTTCCAAAGGTGAATTTATCCTTTAAGCCAGTGTGTATGGACCGGACCCTTAGGCTGCCCCACTGCACCTTTTCACCAAGGTGCTGAACCCTGTGCTTATCTGCTTTGCTCACAGGGAAATCCCAGTTGTGAGATACATGGGTGACTTCCTCCTTCAGGAGCAGTCAGCTCAGACATGGTCTACTAGTGTCTGTTAGACAAACCAAACTTTGCAGAGGTTCATATGGATTCTGGACCCGTAGAAGTCAATGTTGGAACTGACCTATTGTATGGTGTACCTGGGCCTTTTCTTTTATACAGCCCAGTCCTCCCCTGGGGAAAGCTTCTGGCTCTCTGCTCCCACATTCAGACTCTTCAGTGCTGTGGTTGTCTCTCCTGTTCCTTCATCTGATTTTACATGAGGGTCTTATGTTTAATGGTAGCCTCTTTTTGAGGCAGTTCTTTATGCCCAGTTCTACTCTAAGCTGTTGCAAGTCACCATTTTGTTTTGACTGTTGGATTAGAGGCAGAAAGGCAGGAGCAAGTTGGGAGCACTGCATTGAACTAAATAAGTTGTATTTTACACAGTCATAGCTTCTGGTGAGTTTGCACTTCATTTGTGGGTGGCAAGTGGCACTTTGTGGAAGATTGTATGTCATCGTTTAGACACAGTGGCAGCTGCATCTTTTTTTATCACAAAATCTATACACTATATTGCCAAAAGTATTGGTGGGACACCCCTCCACATTATTAGACTCAGGTGTTCCAATCACCACAGGTGTATAAAATCAAGCACCTAGGCATGCAGACTGCTTCTACAAACATTTGTGAAATAATTGGTCGCTCTCAGGAGCTCAGTGAATTCAAACGTGGTACCATGATAGGTTGCCACCTGTGCAATAAGTCCCATCCGTGAAATTTCCTTGTTACTAAATATTCCACTGTCAACTGTTAGTGGTATTCTAACACAGTGGAAGCAACTGGGAACAACAGCAACCCAGCCACAATGTGGTAGGACATGCAAAATGACAGAGCGGCGTCAGCGCATGCTGTAGTGCACAGTGCGCAGAAATCGCCAACTGTCTGCAGAATCAATAGCTAAAGACCCCCAAACTTCATGTGGCTTTCAGATTAGCACAACAACAGTGTGTAGAGAGCTCCATGGAATGGGTTTCCATGACCGAGCAGCTGCATCCAAGCCTTATATCACCAAGTGCAATGCAAAGTGTTGGATGCAGTGGTGTAAAGCACTCTGCCACTGGACTCTAGAGCAGTGGAGATTTGTTCTCTGGAGTGATGAATCGTGCTTCTCTGGCAATCCGATGGACGTGTCTGGGTTTGACGGTTGCCAGGAGAACAGTACTTGCCTGACTCTACTGTGCCAAATGTAATGTTTGGTGGAGGGGGGATTTGGCAATCTTGGTGTGATTGAATGCTTTTAAGGGCAGAGGAGGGATTTGGGGTCTTATTGACCATAGATTCATCCACAAAGAGTACTGGCCTATTGCTGCCACAAGGGATGTTTGTGATCACATTTTTCCCCTTTCGTCTTTCAGGACAGCACCTTGAGAGACCTCGGCTCCTCCCCACCTGAGGAAACACCTCCACCCAACATAAAAAGTTCTCCACTCCCCTCCGACCTCAGTTCAGGTGTTTCCTCCGGTGGGAAGACACGTTAGGAAGCGCAAGGTGCTGTCAGGAAGACAGGCAGGGGAGCCGAGGGTCGGAGAGCCGGCTGTGAGGCTCCGGGCAGCCGGGAGTGAAGGCCGGAGCGTCCGGCTGCGATCCTCCCTGGGCTGGCTGCCGTGCAGTGGGCGTGCACCCTGGGGGACAGGGGACGGCACGTACCTGCTCTCGCCCCTCGACCCCCTACAGCAAGTTGGGGCGGCCGTGGTGAGGACCGGGGAGGAGTCCTGCTCCTTCCCATGCTGGCGGGCAGTGAAGCTTGCCGGGCTGGACGTCGGGGGACGGCGGTTTCTGGCGGAAGGGGCGGGGCTTCTCCCAGGGCCGCGGCTTCCGCTTTCGGTCGCGGCCCTGGCACCACGCGCGCGAAATTCAAAAGGCGGTGCGGAGCAGCCTGGGGGACAGGTCAGCACAAGGCGACCACCCTCCTGAGAAGGATGTCGGAGGCACCGGGACCAGGGGATGCCAGCACAAGCCATTCACAGGTAAGGTGACTCGGAGG